GGGCGGCGACGGGGGGGGGGGGCCATCGCGGTGACCCCAGCAGTGGCCTCGCTGCCGCGCGCCGTGGCTGAGCCGTTCCGACTCCTCGGACCCCCCGGGCCGGATCTCACCCTTGCGCGCAGCGGAGACAGCGGAGGCGGCCACGGGAGCGTGAAGCAGCATGTCTGACAAAATGTCCAGCTTCCTCTACATTGGGGACATCGTGTCTCTGTACGCGGAGGGCTCAGTCAACGGCTTCATCAGCACCCTGGGGTAAGTAGGGCGCGCACTGGGCAGCGCCAGCCGGTCCAGGTCTCTGTCCCTCCCGCGCGGCGTGTCCGGGGTCTGCGCCTGGGACAGCCCCGCGTCCCCGAGGTCCCCGCGCTCAGGAAGCCGCGAGCGCTTCTCAGCAACTTCGTAATCTCCAGCCCGAGACACATCCGAGAAGAGGAAGTGGTTCGCACGCCCCAGACAGGCCCCGCGAGGCAGCCTTCCCTGGCGTCTCCTGGCTTGTTTTGATTAAAATGTATGTTTTCTCCTCGTCTTCCCTCCCCACGGCCCTTCTCAGCGCCCGGCTGGAAAGAGTGGTGGGTTGAAGTCCCTGGCTTCGGCCACGAAAGTAGGCGATGTTGCACAGTGCAAATGCGGCATTGTCCCGCTGGAGGAGATCACCAGCCCCTCTTCGCTGAAGTAATTTCCTTTTGGCCTTGCCAAGGGAAGACTCACCCCTTTGGCTCTGCCAAAACGGGCCTCGTGGGCAGCCGGGGTTCTAGAACTGGGATCTTCTTTTTTCCTCTCCATCCCCCTCGGCCGGGTGAAGTGAACTGCAAGGCTCTGGAGATTCCAGTTGGTGTATGCACTGGGGAAATAGGTTTGTGTATCCTGCAGAACACCAGCGTGCTAGTTAAGTAGGGCCTTTTGTGATTTCTAGAAATTCCTTACATGGCGAGCTGATGCAGTTAGTTGCGCCTTGCGATATGTTTTAGTGCACAGGTGAGTTTCCGCTCTTTAGACTCTAATCTGGGAGACTTGAGATTGGTGACTGTTCACTGTTGAGTTTTGGAGTTCTGTCTCCTGAGCTGTGACAGTGTCACCTGCCCAATGCCTTCCCTGGAAGTCACCAGTGGTGTCCTGTTCTTTGAGCATGTCCCCACAGATTTGGGGGAGGAAGGTAGATTTAATTCCATATCTCCTGCCCATCAGTTTACTCCGGAGATTGAAGTGTGGAAGAACTCAGTGCAAGTGTCCAGCCGTTTCTGAGAGAATTCATGCTCCAAGTCCAGTTTGGGTCCAGGACAGTGCCTTGCTGACGAATTCTGTTGAACTTACACTTGAACCTTGGCAGACATGGAGGGTGTCTGCCATTTAGCAGCTAAAAGGAGGGGCTCTAGAAACAGAAGGGTTGGGCTGGAATTCCCACCCTTTGACTTGCAAACCTTATGTCCCTGGGCAGGTTATGAAATCTAGCTAGGCTTCCAACTCCTCAGTCTAAAAATGGGACTCAGTGGTTTCTACACAGGGGCGTGGGGAGCAAAGAGGTAAGCGCCGAGCATGGCAGAGCTGTAATGACTACATTCACCAGTTAATTAGCTGATGCAGTAATTATCGCTGCATAGCCTAGGCAAGAGTTCAAGGGCCAGGATGGACTTTGTCTCTGTAGGGTCACTCTGCAAGGTCAAAGGTGGGTAGTGTATGAAGCAGATACTGGGAGAGCTAAGGTGGTCCAGCTTCCACAGTCGTGGAGTTGTCTCCAGGAATTGTTGAGACGAGTCGTGACCACTGCAAGAAGCAGAGGGCCTTTGTGTCCAAAGCCAGAACTCTACTCCTGACTTCGACTCCTTGCCAAGCGTATGCTACTCTGCTTTCCCAAGTGACTTCAGACAGAAAACCAGCACGAATGCAGTGACTGTGGCAGGCTCAGTGGTGTCACAGCGCTCGCTGTGCTCAGGGTTTCTTGCTGGTGATCTGAAAGTGGAGTTTCTTCAGAATGTGTTCCCAGACGGCTATCATTCTCTATTCATGAAATAATAGTGTTGAGATGACTGGCAAGGCAGAGTCCAAGTTGAAGAGTCTTGAACATGCTGCCCTGGGCGGAGCTTGCAGCTTTGATTGGATGTCTGTCTATTGAAGTAGACGTCTCGGAGGTTCAGGTAGCTCATAGAACTGCAGAGGTCGGCGTTAGTGTGATTGCTCCCCCACTCCTGCACTCCGGTATCAACAGGTTTTCAAAGGGCAGTTACAGAAGTCATTGCTGATGTTCCCAGATAGAATTTTCTGGCCCTTGGAGAATGGTGTTCAAAGGGCACTCCAGGGCAGCCCAGGGCATGGACTTCAGTTGGCTGCATGAGTTTAAGTCTTATGAAGTAAGGGAATATAAAGGTCCTTCGGCATCTTACTTGACAAGTCCTGACATCTTTTATCAGTACTTTCTGTTTAGAAAAGCATGCCATTTCTTTCACATTTGGGAAATACCTAATAGTGTTCAACCTGAAATTATTAATTATCTTATCAATATAAACATTGTGTGTGAGATCTGCAAGTAATGTAGAAACTTCAAAGATGTTTTCAGAAAATGCCTGGCACATCTGATGGGGCTTAAGTTGTACAGCAAATCATCTCATTGATTTTTCTTATTAATATGTAGTTTTAAAACTAGGGGTTCTGTCTTACAAATTTTTTTTTTCAAAATTCAGGAGTGAAAATTTTCAACTATTGAGAAATAATTACGTTTAGTTTTATAATGGCTTAATTAAGGTCCTGGAATATATGGGCAGTGTCCCATTGTTATATCAAAATACCTAAGATTATCAGTTTGCAAGGAGGAGACATTTTTGTTCTCACAGTTTTGGCTTCAGTTGTACAGTCTATGGATTCTGTTGCTTTGGAACTACAATGGCATAGATGGCAGGTGTCTGTGAGCAGGGGACAGAGTTGGAGCATGCCACCAGTGACTCATCGCCTGTCCCCAGGTGTGTGTGGTGTGTGTGTGTGGTGTGTGGTGTGTGTGTATATGTGTGTGGTGTGTATGTGCGTGTGGTGTGTGTGTGTGTGTGGTGTGTGGTGTGTGTGAGTGTGTGTGTGTGTGTGTGTGGCATGTGTATGGTGTGGTGTGTGTGGTGTGTATGTGTGTGAGTGTGTGTGGTGTGTGTGTATGGTGTGTGAGTGTGTGTGTGTGGTGTGTGTGTGGTGTGTGTGTGTGGTGGGTGTGGTGTGTGTGTGTGTGTGGTGGGTGGGGTTGTGTGTGTGGTGTGTGTGTGTGGTGGGTGTGGTGTGTGTGTGTGTGTGGTGGGTGGGGTTGTGTGTGTGGTGTGTGTGTGTGGTGGGTGTGGTGTGTGTGTGTGTGTGGTGGGTGGGGTTGTGTGTGTGGTGTGTGTGTGTGGTGGGTGTGGTGTGTGTGTGTGTGTGGTGGGTGGGGTTGTGTGTGTGGTGTGTGTGTGTGGTGGTGTGTGTGTTGTGTATGTGTGTGTGGTGTGTATGTGTGTGTGGTGTGTGTGTATATGTGTGTGGTGTGTGTGTGTGTGGTGTGTGTATGGTGTGGTGTGTGTGGTGTGTATGTGTGTATGTGTGTGTGGTGTGTGTGTATATGTGTGTGGTGTGTGTATGTGTGTGGTGTGTGTGTATGGTATGTGTGTGTGGTGTGTGAGTGTGTGTGTGTGGTGTGTGGTGTGTGTGTGGTGTGTATATGTGTGTGTGGTGTGTGTGAGTGTATGTGTGTGGTGTGTATGTGGTGTGTGAGTGTGTGTGTGTGGTGTGTGGTGTGGTGTGTGTGAGTGTATGTGTGTGGTGTGTGTGTGGTGTGTGTGTATGGGTGTGTGTGTGTGTGTGTGTGTGCTGCACATGTGGAGGTCAGAGGCTCTGCTGGAGATTTTGTCAGTTTAGGGCAGATGACAGTCACCTAGCAAGAGGCAATGTCAGTTGAGGAATTGCCTCTGTCAGATTGCTCTGTGGACAAGACTGTAGGGCATTTTCTTGATTAATAAAGTCCAGCCCACTGTGGGTGGAGTCAGCCCCAGGCAGGTGGTCCTGGGGAGCCTAAGAGAGCAGGTCAAGCAAGCCAGGGAGAGCAAGCCACCAAACACATTTCTCTGTGACTTCTGCTTCAGTTCCCGCCTCCAGGCCTCTGCCTTGAACTCTTGTGTTGACTTCCCTCGAGGATGGACCGTAACCTGTAAGCCACATAAACCTAAGTCGCTTTTTGGTTAGTGTTTTATCACAGTATCAGAAAAGCAAGCTAAGACAGAGGCCTTCCACCTTGGCCCCCTGCCCAGCAGTGACAGGAGCTAAGGACTACACCCTTAACACATGGGCCTTTAGGGGACAAACTGGGACGATTATTATTTTGTAGGTTCTTTTTATTGTTTGTTTGTGGTTAACTTTTTGGAAGTTTTTTTTTTTTTAAATTAGCTTATGAAGTCTTCATTATGCTGTTTTCTAAACATTTTTGTTTGTTTGTTTCTCTTCCCCCCGTCGCCCCCTCCCTTGTTCCCTTCCATTATTTTGACGCCACACATGATCTTTTCATGCATGATTTCAACGTGTAGGGCTTTATTTAGCTTGGGGAACCAGAAGGGTGTATGCCCCAGCCAAGTAAAAATATTTTAACATCTTTTATTATTGTTTGTGCATGGGTATTTTGCCTGCACGTGTGTCTGTGTGTCACGTGTGCAGTGCCTGTGGAGGTCAGAAGAGGCCACTGGGTTCCGTAGAACTGGAGTCACAGACGGCTGTGAGCTGCTGTGTAGGTGCTGGGAATCAAACCCCAGCTCCTGCAAGAGCAGGCCTTGTCTCTGGAGCCTCACAAGGGAAGTCTTAGCTAGGTGATTGTAATTGTTGGAGACTCTAGGGCTGTGAAGCCAGAGCGGAACAACAGCTGCTTCCCTGGCTACATACGTGTTGCTGATCTTCACTCACAGGCCTTTGTATCACTCGCAGAGTAGAGACTCCTCCATGGGTTTCCTTGCTCTCCTGCTCCTTGCGTCCGTTTCTCAGGCCTGCTGCTAACCGGTGCATGACCTTGCTCACACCATGTATCTTTTTGTAAGTCAGCCTCAGTGTTTTTGCCTTGGAGAGGATGGATAGCCTCCCCTTGAAGGTATGAGGCAATCTAGCTCCAGAGACAAATGAAAGTTTTGTGAAGTGAAAATGTATAGGGAACAGCTATATTTCCATATACACAATTACAAATTTTCTTCAAAGGTTAAGGAGCTGGTGGAGTGAACTAGGCCAGAGTTCAGGTTCAGTAATCACGATGGTTACACGTGTTTAGCCAAACT